GGGGGGGTGGGGGGGGGGGGGGCCCTGTCAGTCACAGCTCTCTGTAGGGAGACAATCGGGAAGTGAGCGGATCGGCTGCATGTTTCTGCTTACTTCGCGATCAATAGAGCCGACCTGCGAGAGCTTATTTGTCACAGGTCGGCTCGAACTATAAGGATGAGTGGAAATCCCTCACCTCATAGTTCTCCTTTAAGTTTAAATCAGCTGAATACATTCAAGGTACATCAAAACATAAAGGTGTGCAAAGGAGGACACAGTGAATGTGACATTCACCAAACATGCGCAGAAAGTAAATGAATAGCTGCACTAACCAAACAAAGCACTAGGAAGATACACCTGCAGTGGATGTTTGGTGAATGTCACATTTATTGCTTTATAAATATAGAGTTCTTTCAAAAAGCAGCTGTAGCTTGATCAGAAAACCCTGTCCTTGGCAGCATGCTGTAGAGAAGGACCCTTGTGTGGAAACAGTGTCTCCAGGGGTCAAACACACCCCTTGATGAGTCAGACCTATAGCTCTGCAATCCACAAATCACATGTTTCCTGCTGATTGGAGAGCTCTAGCTCTGAGTCAGCAGGAGACATGTTGAACCTCTGCAGAGAGACCACTGCCTCAACACAGAAAGCAAAGGTCATTCTCTGCAGCTACCTGGTCGGGGTCAGGCTTTTCTACTCAGGATGTGGTTGCTTTCTATAGAAAATAATTGTAAGCCTTTGTAGACTTTGTTTTGCTGCACCTCAGATGTATTTAGCTGATTAAACCTACAAGTTCAGTTGGGCTTTAACTAGCCTTTAGATCATTATATGTAAATATGTTATTAGACTTCTGCTGCCTCAGATTATTGACATTTTGTTGCTGCATTTCATAGTACTGATAAGCAGTCTGCCACATGGAGATGTACATAAAAAAATTCTACATTAAGCCTTCTTTTAATGTGATTGCCAGCCATCATTTGTTACATCTGAGGTCATCTTAACCAAAAATCAATAATAGAATGTGGTCCTAAATTAAATTCTTGCACTGTTTGTTGCCTCTGGCATTAGCAAAAAGGATAATATCAATCCTTATTGTTATTGTCAGTTAATGTGGAATGCCAACCTTTGATGGTTAGGAATATATAACACCAGGCTCTGTCATCAAAGGACACAGGCTTCTTAAAGATTGCTGCCAAAATCGTGGAGATGGACTTTTCAGTCTTAGTTCTTGCTAATCCTAGTTCCCCAGGTGCCCATTCACAGGTTAACTCATGAGCTAAAGGCTTCTGTGTATCATAAGCCAGTGTAGCTGCTGCTAACACTTCAAAGTCACTGGGCAACATGCATTGACAAATAGAAATATATTCTTATTAGGGTCTTGCAAAAGCTGAAGTATAAGGTGACTGTTTTAGTTGCACTTCCCTTAAAGTGAACTTGTAGTGTGTTTCAGCTATAGACAATACTGCCTTTACATGCTCTAATGTCAATGCTACCTGCTAAAAGCAAGAAAAAGACGATGCCATTGTGCCACCAACCAAAAATAAAAATCCCACCATATGTTGGGCAATGTAACATTACATATGTCACTCGCCAATCAGTAGTGACTACAACAAATGGGAAAGGTGAAGTATTCTTCTCTATGGAAAGTTGAGACAAGCATGTAATCTGAGAGTTGATTTTCTCAGCAGAATGGTACTCCTGTAAAACTGCTCTTCTGTCTTTGAATCTCCAGTCAGCTAATTTAAAGATTAGGTTGAGACTGGGTCTAGATTGTGTGTTGGAAATGGAAAAGAGGTAAATTACATTGATCTCTATGCTCCAAATCTAGAGACCCGCATCATCAACTGTGTTGGGCATACCATTGGTGCCCATTGTGCAGCTCTATTGGTAACAAGACGTGTTCGGGGACTCAGGGGACCATTTTTATAACATGTGAATCAGATAGGTGCTGGGACCCCTCCCACTGCCATGTACACATAAACAACACTCACACCTAGCTATTTGCCAGATGTTTTTACTTGGCCAGTAGTTTAATCAAGGGCCTACAAATTGGTTCTTCACAGGGACACCTTAATGACTCTGTCCATCATTGATCTTCAAAGTTGTAGTTTATAGGACCTGTGCTTCCCTGCCTGTAGTTCTGACAACCTCATAGGTAGTTCTTGGGCCCTTTATATGAGAATGCCTATCTTTAAATAATTCAGCCAGGTGAATATCAGTACAGTTTCATTCAATTTGTTTTACAACAGCCCAAAAGTGGTATTGGGTTCATGTGCAGTGAGAGTTTTATTGCATGTTTAGATCTGTAAAAATATTCCAGTAGGTAGAGATTCTAATAACTAAAACATGTAAATATGACAAATCCACCTTGGTCATACACATATATTACACATAAATATATTTTGTATTTGAACAACAGTGATCTTTCAAGAACTTTAAATGCACACAGGAGTATCCAACATGATCCTGAGCAGACATGTAGGCCATCTAAAATGTAATTATTTTCTTGGAGAAATGAAAGCTGTCAGATGAAAGTCCAATTTATTACATCGATGTCAGTTTTGATACTTACTTTTTTTAAGGATTTCCTTACATTCTGGGTCAATGGGCGGTGCATTAGGTTTAGCTAAAGCATTGGACAGGACTTCTACGATACATCGTGTTACCTAAAGGGACAGAAAGAAACAGTTCAAGAACAATAATGAGTAGACATTCAGGTACATTTCATAAACAAAGAATCTGCACATAATTATTGTTTTAAATAACATCAGTGCCAATTGCAAGAAAAAAAAACCAAGGGGAAAATGAAGTAATTTATAACAGCCCATAATAAATCATAATCATTAGTCTACCCAAACACAGTAAACTGTGAGATTGGGTACACGGTGATGTTTTTTCTCCAACTTTCAGCATCACTGATATTTTCCCGTGTTTGGCACAAAGCTATGTGTTCAGACACCGATTGTTGTATTATGAACAAAGCTTTCAATGCCCATGGACTGCAATCCACCGAGTCAGGAGGAAGATCAGCCATGTGCTGGCTCCCCAGTCCGGATATTTATACTATAGAAGCCATATTGGGATAACATCTACTTGATATTTGTTATTAAAAATGCACATGCTTAACTGAGGAACAATAAATACTGTATATTTTTCATCTTATTTAGATGTATAGGTTTTATCTTTATCTGACATCAGCTTAAATGCCTCTTTTAACTGCCTCACCTCCCATACTGGGGGGCACAAGCATGATGGGCACTTGATGTGTATCAAATAAAAATATAGTGGGTCTATGGTGAAAAGGATTTATGATGTGTGTGCCAGAAACTGGAAAATTGCAAATTGCAATTGGTCACAAGAATGGGGCAGTTTTTGTTCCCTATAAACTAATAGTAACATAGTAGATAAGACTAAAAAAGACAAGGGTCAATCCCGTACCTTCACTACACTACAGCATAGATATATATCACAGGTCTCGGCCTGGTCTGACCATCTGCACACCAGTACTTTTTGTTAACATGTCTACCGAAACACTTACATTCTTTAATGTTCACCGCTGCAGCTCCAGGTCCCACAGCATAGGGTACAGAATTGTGCCTCCTGTGCACATCGCACTACTCACAGCGCAGGCTCAAGCTGCAGTCAATCACTCACTTGGAGGAGAGAGGAGGGGAAAAGGGGAGGGGCTTGGGCAGGAACTGTCTGCACAGTAGAGAATCCTGTGTATCGGCAGCCAGGAGCGTGCAAGCAAAGGTGGCTCCATGTCACCCTGTAAGGTCATGTTGCCACCTGATAACAGGACCCAGGAAAAGCGGCATATATAGATGAAGAATTAAAAGCAAAGTAATGCTTAGAAAGGAAAACTGACACGCACAAATGGTAGGTGCTGAGGTCTGGAGCACTATATGATTTTTTTTTAACAGGGTATAATATCACTTTAGGGTAAAAATCGCCTAGGCTTTAGTACTACTTTAAGCTCAAGGTGTACTGGAAAAGTGGAGATGTGTATATGAATTCAGCTCCCCTAGTGTTGGTTTTAACATCAGGTCATTTATGCATTTTTAATGCTCAGTTCAAATTGTCCATGTTTGTGACAGAGCTCTTACAGTAGTTATGTTTAGCCTGCAGAGAGCTGTAAGAACCTTGAAGTGTAATATGCCTGAGGAAGCTTTTAGCTTCATAGTTCTGACACCCAAACATTCCACAATGCAATGTACTTTTTCACTCTGGAACAATGAAAAATCGTGAACGTTCTGACTTTGAAGCTTGATTTTCATAAAGGGCACACCTTTCTAGTGCCAAGAGCCATTCACCTATGACTACTGCACAAGAAAAATGGCATATTGGAGACATGTGCAGTTAATGTTTAGTGCGTGCTTTTAAGTTCTTGCATCAGTTCATCACTTCTATGAAATGATTTCATGTAGTGATCTGTAAGCCAATCTATACCCCCTGCAATAAATAATAACTAAATTAGGATTCACATCAGAGCTGTATTGTTTATACATCCACTCAGTATATGGCTTTGTGCATAACTCTTCTGTGGTTTATTATCCTTAGCAGGAAACTTCCTGGACTGTGAACATGACAGGAGGGTAGCAATATGCTGTGTGCCCCTGGTAGACTAGGGAAAGAACAGGAGGGCAGCAATATACTATGTGTCTCTGGTAGACTATGGTCAGAACAGGAGGGCAGCAATATGCTGTGTGTCTCTGGTAGACTAGGGAAAGAACAGGAGGGCAGCTACACACTATCTGCCCCTAGTGGATTATGAACAGAACAAAGTGTCAGCTGTGTGTGTTCCCCTGGTGGACTACGGACAGAACGCAAGGGCATCTACACACTGTGTGGCCCTCGTGGTCTATGGAAAGAACAGGAGGGTAGGGGCACACTATGTGCCCCTAGTGGACTATTGAAATAACAGAAGGACATCTACATGCTGTGTGCCCCTGGTGAAATATGGACAGAAGAGATTGGCAGCTACAAACTGTGTGCTCCTGGTTGACTATGGAAATAACAGAAGGTCATCTACATGCTGTGTGCTCCTGGTGGACTATGGACAGAAGAGATGGGCAGCTACACAATGTGTGCTCCTGGTGGACTATTGACAAAACAGGAGTGCAGCTACACACTGTGTGCTCCTGGTGAACTAGGGAACTAACAGAAGGGCATCTACATGCTGTGTGACCCTGGTGGAATATGGACAGAAGAGATAAGCAGCTACAAACTGTGTGCTCCTGGTAGACTATGGAAATAACAGAAAGTCATCTACGTGCTGTGTGCCCTGGTGGACTATGGATAGATGAGATGGGCAGCTACACACTGTGTGCCCCTGGTGGACTATGGAATAACAGAAGGTCGTCTACATGTTGTGTGCCCCTGGTGGACTATGGATAGAAGAGATGGGCAGCTACACACTGTGTGCCCTGGTGGACTATGGAATAACAGAAGGACGTCTACATGCTGTGTGCCCCTGGTGGACTATGGATAGAAGAGATGGGCAGCTACACGCTGTGTGCCCCTGGTGGACTATGGATAGAAGAGATGGGCAACTACATACTGTGTCCCTAGTGTTGGTTTTAACATCAGGTCATTTATGCATTTTTAATGCTCAGTTCAAATTGTCCATGTTTGTGACAGAGCTCTTACAGTAGTTATGTTTAGCCTGCAGAGAGCTGTAAGAACCTTGAAGTGTAATATGCCTGAGGAAGCTTTTAGCTTCATAGTTCTGACACCCAAACATTCCACAATGCAATGTACTTTTTCACTCTGGAACAATGAAAAATCGTGAACGTTCTGACTTTGAAGCTTGATTTTCATAAAGGGCACACCTTTCTAGTGCCAAGAGCCATTCACCTATGACTACTGCACAAGAAAAATGGCATATTGGAGACATGTGCAGTTAATGTTTAGTGCGTGCTTTTAAGTTCTTGCATCAGTTCATCACTTCTATGAAATGATTTCATGTAGTGATCTGTAAGCCAATCTATACCCCCTGCAATAAATAATAACTAAATTAGGATTCACATCAGAGCTGTATTGTTTATACATCCACTCAGTATATGGCTTTGTGCATAACTCTTCTGTGGTTTATTATCCTTAGCAGGAAACTTCCTGGACTGTGAACATGACAGGAGGGTAGCAATATGCTGTGTGCCCCTGGTAGACTAGGGAAAGAACAGGAGGGCAGCAATATACTATGTGTCTCTGGTAGACTATGGTCAGAACAGGAGGGCAGCAATATGCTGTGTGTCTCTGGTAGACTAGGGAAAGAACAGGAGGGCAGCTACACACTATCTGCCCCTAGTGGATTATGAACAGAACAAAGTGTCAGCTGTGTGTGTTCCCCTGGTGGACTACGGACAGAACGCAAGGGCATCTACACACTGTGTGGCCCTCGTGGTCTATGGAAAGAACAGGAGGGTAGGGGCACACTATGTGCCCCTAGTGGACTATTGAAATAACAGAAGGACATCTACATGCTGTGTGCCCCTGGTGAAATATGGACAGAAGAGATTGGCAGCTACAAACTGTGTGCTCCTGGTTGACTATGGAAATAACAGAAGGTCATCTACATGCTGTGTGCTCCTGGTGGACTATGGACAGAAGAGATGGGCAGCTACACAATGTGTGCTCCTGGTGGACTATTGACAAAACAGGAGGGCAGCTACACACTGTGTGCTCCTGGTGAACTAGGGAACTAACAGAAGGGCATCTACATGCTGTGTGACCCTGGTGGAATATGGACAGAAGAGATAAGCAGCTACAAACTGTGTGCTCCTGGTAGACTATGGAAATAACAGAAAGTCATCTACGTGCTGTGTGCCCTGGTGGACTATGGATAGATGAGATGGGCAGCTACACACTGTGTGCCCCTGGTGGACTATGGAATAACAGAAGGTCGTCTACATGCTGTGTGCCCCTGGTGGACTATGGATAGAAGAGATGGGCAGCTACACACTGTGTGCCCTGGTGGACTATGGAATAACAGAAGGACGTCTACATGCTGTGTGCCCCTGGTGGACTATGGATAGAAGAGATGGGCAGCTACACGCTGTGTGCCCCTGGTGGACTATGGATAGAAGAGATGGGCAACTACATACTGTGTGCCCCTGGTGAACTATGGACACAACAGGAGGGCAGCAACAAACTGCGTGCCCTTGGTGGACTATGGATAGAAGAGATGGGCAGCTACACACTGTGTGCCCCTGGTGGACTATGGAATAACAGAAGGTTGTCTACATGCTGTGTGCCCCTGGTGGACTATGTATAGAAGAGATGGGCAGCTACACACTGTGTGCTCCTGTTGGACTATGGACACAACTGAAGGGCAGCCACAAACCGCGTGCCCTGATAGCTAAAAATGTTTTAACTTTGAGCCTAACTTGCTATTTTAGCTGGAAATCCATTGCATTTGGGAAGATGAAGCAAATGCTACACTAAGTCTCTGGTGTAACACTGGAGAACGCAGTTATACCACTTATATTAATTTCTCATCTCTCATACTCTGACACATTACAGATTTCATGCATTTCTGTCTCAGTTTTATACTTTTAATTAAAATACAATTTTCCATGCTGATTTCCAGATATGAACATCTGCCATCTGGAGAGGAATATACATTTAAATTATTGTCAGTTCTATTAACCCCATACCACTACAACAC